AATAGTAAATGTTAATTTTTTTCTTTTTATTCTGTCACAAAAATGTCCAGAGGACCTGAATTTAGTTAAGTTTCCCAACTGTACAGGAAGCCTAGTTCTATTATATGCGATAGCCATGGCAGGAGAAAAATATCTAAATTATACATACTAGTATGTATTTCTAGACTGACCAGTCTTTTACTGATCATTCCGTCTATTTCTACTTGGATATGTATTTCCTGTAAAGTTACACCTTCATATGCCCCTGCCTGGAGCAGCCTACCATGGCTTAAAATGTCCTCATATACCTGTTAATTGATTTACTCAGTGCTTACTGTGTACCGCGCACCATGCTAAGTAGTGAACCAGGCAAATGCAACTCTTCCCACAATGTAGCATAATAAATTATCTGGTAGAAGACAATCTTTAAATATTTACACTAATAATTCATCACAGTGTGTTTGGCGCTATGAAGTTTAGCACAATAACCTTTCCAGCTTAGAAGTTTTATTTCCAGATCTGTTAGCCTCTTCCTGCATCCACGAGGCACAGTCTGGGAGATCTGGTTCCAGTTTCCAATGGGAAATACCAGAAAGAACCTTGGGGATTATCTTTAGAGTATTTACAAGGCTAGTGTGAGGAATAAGAGAAAAATATTTAAAAGAAAGCTCTAGAACATTAGAGGACAAAATACCCATATCCTCAGCAAAGCCAGCACCATGGCTGATGAGCTCTGAAACAGTTTAACAAGGTCAAGAATGAAGCAGAAAGTCCACTTTAGTGGACCGTTTTTGCCTTTGAATGAGAAAACAGCTGTTACCTGTTTTTTATTCTGTGCCCTGTTTTTTCCTGCAGTGTCCCTAGTTTCTACATTTAATAGGTTTCAAACCATGAGCAACTGTGTAGCTGAGAAAAAAAATTTGCTTTATGAAAAAAAGAAAAAAAACAACAACAAAACATGAATTTTTCCAACCAGTACACTTTATAGCCATTGAGTGGCTGCAGAGGTACCGACAGTGATTAAACCCACAGAGAACCAGCTTCCCAGCTCAAACTGGAAACAAATATATTTTTAAATAAGAGGAGATATGCCTGAGGACAGCTAAATCTAGGTAATTCTTTTTATTATAAAAGGATTTCTCTTAAAAATTTCTCCCCCACTTTGATGCTAAGAAATAAATTTGATGTTATAATAAAAAAATCCACCTAGGTCAGTGGTCGGCAAACTGCGACCCCTTGAGTGTGGCTCTTCCACAAAATACCACGTGTGGGCGCGCACGTACAGTGCGATTGAAACTTCGTGGCCACACTCAAGGGGCCAAAGAGCCGCATGTGGCTCGTGAGCAGCAGTTTGCCAACCACTGACCTAGGTTGTTTTATCTGAGATAGTTTAAAATGAACAGGTGACTCACATTTTTAATTTAAAGTAAGTTTGAAGCCCTAGCCAGGTAGCTCAGTTGGTTAGAGCGTCGTCCTGATATGCCAAGGTTGCCGGTTCAATCCCGGGACAGGGCACATATAAGAATCAACCAGTGAGTGCGTAAATAAGTGGAACAACGAATTAATGTTTCTCTCTCCCTTCCTCTCTCTCTCTAAAAAAAAAAAAAAATCAATAAGAAAATAAAAATAAAATAAGCTCGATATGTCTGAAGTCTATGCTGAAGAAAAAAGATGCCAAAAAATTCACTCATCACCCAAAATAGTTAAGCTTTCTAAACTGAATCTCTTCAGCATGAGGTCAAAGACAGACTTCTCTTAGAAAATCCCCAAACACTACCTATTCCAACTACTTAAAAGTCAGCTTCTGTTTCTCCAAGAAACAAAACACATCCAATGTGACATAAAAGCACCATCTACCTGAAATGCAAAATAACCAGCAAGCCACATTCTTTTTCACAGAATTAGCAGGCGTAGATCACCTGCTGCTTGGATAATTTATTTCACTGTTTCTTTTTTTTACTGGCAGGACTGTCCAAGACTTCTATCTTGCCTTTTCCATCTTCTGAATGAGGAAGCTTGATGTTATCTACAGTGACTTCAGAAGAGCTGCTGTCATCTTCGTCCTCGGATTCAGAACTGGCCTGTGAATTCTCTTCAGAACTGTCTTCATCTTTTGAATCAGACTGATTCGTCTGAAACCTGGCCTGGTCCGGCAAAAAACGCCGCATGAGAAATTTCTTTCCCTAAACAGTCACAATAAAACATTGGCATCTCCCAAAAGGTAGCCCAATATTGAAACACCTATGGACATGTCGTTGTCATTTTCAATTCCTATCCGTGCCCCCTTTCTTATTAATTATAAAGAGAAATAGGAAGGGCAGGAGAGAGAAGGAAGAGGGAGCAGGGGGGAGGAAGGGAGGGAGGGAGGGAGGGAGGGAGGAAGGGAGGGAGGGAGGAAGGGGGGAGAGAGAGAGAGAAACATCAATGTGAGAAAGAAACATCCATCGGTTGCCTCCTCTAAGCACCCTGGCACCCTGACTGGGGATCAAACCTGCAACCTGGGTATGTGCCCTGACCAGAATCAAACCCTCAATTGTTCAGTGCATGGGATGATGCTCCAACCGAGGCACACTGGCCAAGGCATAAAGGACATGTTTTTAATACAATATGGCGCTTTTGTTCTTTTAATTGCCAGAGTCCACCATTATGATCTACATTTACTCTAAGTCTAAAAAGGCCCCCATCACCCAATTCTCTATGTCCTGAATACACTCTTTTATTCAACAACTATTAACGTGAGCCAGGCACCACGCCAGGTACTGGAGACTCAACAATAATAATAAAATCTTTGCCTTTGTGGAGCTTATATTTTTGAGCTGGGATTGGCGGCCTACAGGCCAAACCCAGCCTGCTACCTGTCTTGGTTTAACTCATGAGCTAAGAATGGTTTTTATATTTTTAAGTGGTAGAGAAAAAAAAATCAAAAGAACAGTATTTCATGAAACATGAAAATTATATGAAATTCAAATTTCAGTGTCCACAAGTAAAGTTAGTAGAACTTGCCTATTCATTAAGTCTCATCTACAGCTGCTTCCAGGCTACAACGGCAGAGGTGAGTGGTCAGGACAGAGATAGCGTGGTCCACAGAGCCTAGAGTATTCACAATCTGGCCCCTTACAGAAAATGTTTGCTGACCTCTGTTCAAGTAGGGAAAGATAGACAAGCAACACTTACATATACAGCATGGTGCAGGATAGAGAAAAGAAAGAAAAATAAAGCAGAATAAGGTAACAATAGGGTCACTGGAAGAGGTGACAATTGATGAGACAGAGAGAGTCGATGCAGAAATCCAGGGAAGAGCATTCTACAAAGAGGGAAAAGGCCTGGAGTAAGGAGAATAAGTGCAGACAATGAGGGGACTGGGCAGGAGGCAAGGTCAGCGAACAGCGGGAGGCAGGATCGCACAGGTCTGGAAGGACTTGGAATTGATTAGAAATGAGACGGGAAGGCCCTCGCTTCCCAAACGGTGGGCCACACACTGTGAAGAACTGACTCTAGGGAAGAAAAGGTGAGAGCAAGGAGACCTGTTGGGAAATTATTCCCAGAGTCCCAAGGGGAGACTGTGATTATTAAGACCAGGGGCAGCAGGAGAGGAGCTCATGCAACATGGTTGGATTTGGGATATATTCTGGAGGAAGAGCTGACCAGATTTGCTGATGAATTAGATACTACCCACAATGGTGTCAGCTCTGTCGAGACACAACTGTTAGAATTCCAGTGCAGAAATAAGACCTGAGTCTAAATTGAGACCCTTTTCACACGTGTCTTATGTAATGTGTTCTGTGAGATAATGTATTCTGTTAAACATATCATTAACTTTTGAATTTTCAATGGATCTGACTATGATTACCTCTTTGGGCCTGGGATAGAAAAGAAAAGAAAAACCCAGTTAGGACATTTACTGAATGAATGCTTCAAGATAACAAATATATGACTTAGAAAAGCCCTCCTATGACTCTGTATTATTTAATTCCTAAACTTCACCCAGGGAAGCTTACTAACCTATATATAAGATCCTTAATCATTAAAATGACCAAGCACCTATGCAGTACTAAAAACATGAGCTGACTTACCAGGAAGAAAAGTAACTGTGAAATGAAAATGGAAATGGCTGTCATCAACAAATCAACAAACGACAAGTGCTGGAGAGGATGCGGAGAAAAGGGAACATTCGTGCACTGCTGGTGGGAATGCAGACTGGTGCAGCCACTATAAAAGACAGTATGGAGTTTCCTCAAAAAGTTAAAAATGGAACTCCCATTTGACCCAGTGATCCCACTTCTAAGAATATATCCCAAGAAACCAGAAACACCGATCAGAAAGGATATATGCATCCCTATGTTCATAGCAGCACAATTTACCATAGCGAAGATCTGGAAACAGCCTAAGTACCCATCAATAGATGAATGGATTAGAAAACTGTGGTACATCTACACAATGGAATACTATGCTGCTGTAAAAAAGAAGGAATTCTTACCATTTGCAACAGCATGGATGGAATTGGAGCATTATGCTAAGTGAAATAAGCCAGTCAATGAAAGAAAAATACCACATGATCTCACTCATTTATGGATAATAAAGACCATTATAAACTAATGAACAAAAATAGATACAGCGGCAGAGCAGCATCGAACAGACTGTCAAACTACAGCGGGAAGGCTGGGGAGGGTTGGGGGGCAGAAGGGGAAGTAAGAGATCAACCGAAGGACTTGTAAGCATGCATATAAGCATTACCAATGGACAGAAGACAATGGGGGGTAGGGGAGGCCGGGGGAATGTCAAGGGGAAAAAAAAAAAGGAGACATATGTAATACTCTTTGTAATACTTTAAGCAATAAAACAAAATTTAAAAAAAATGAAAATGGAAAAGTTCTCGCTCTTTTTAGGTGATGAGGCACACTGGTAATTTTACTATCTGAAATGAAAACTAAGTATAATTACCATTTGTATAATGTTTCCAAGAGTCTCATCAATATTTTCAATATTGAAATGATCAGGTGGTGCAGCTGCCATTTCTTTTCTTAGCTTTTCATTCGCCTGAGCCATCTGTGGGAGAAAGGTCTGTACCTGGTCCAATACTAAAGAGAAAAAATACAGTTTATCAATACTTACATTAGTATTTGCCCAAAGTTCAAATTGTAAAATCCAGAATTTTCTCTAAAACATTTGTGAATTTAATAGTAATAAAATAATAATTTTTCATATTCCTTTCATTTTAAAAATCCCCATCCTCTTCTGAATTCCTTTTTAAAAATATATATTCTTATTGATTTCAGAGAGGAAAGGTAGAGGGAGAGAGAGGTAGAAACATCAATGATGAGGGAGAATCATTGATCAGCTGCCTCCTGCACACCCCCTACTGGGGATCTAGCCCACAATACGGGCAAATGCCCTGACCGAAATTGAACTGTGACCTCCTGGTTCATAGGTCAACACTCAATTACTGAGCCATACCGGCCGGTCCTATGACGAACACAATTCAGCAATTATTTACCAATAATTTGGGGTTTTCATATATCCCCAGCGCTATAACCTCATAAAACAGCGGCTGCCAACCTTTAGGACCTCACGAACCACCAGTGGTCCGAGGACCACCGGTTGGCGACCACTGTCCTAGAAGGCTGGCATTCAACAAATAATAATGAGGAGGCCCTATGACTTAATAGTTAAGTGCACCAGGTGTGGTGGCAGACCAACAAGGTTATTAATGGAATCCCAGTTCCATCCCGACTACCCGAATTGCCTTGGGCATGTTAATTAAGAGTGTTTGTTTTTACCTGTCCAACATCTATTCCCCTTTCTTCTAATAACATAACCCTGACTTTCCTTTTCAGCTCTGTCACTCTTAGTCACTCCTACCCCGCACCCTGGATGTGCCTACATGCTCTGCAACCTTGGCCACCATGAGTTGGTTCAGTGGCATACACAGTGACACCATGAATTAGTCAGACCAGTAAGAGATCACCCTGAAACATGGTTTGAACTGTTGAGGGGGGAAAAAATCCTCCTTCTGAGTGAGTGAGTGAGTGAGTGAGTGAGTGGGTGGGTGAGCGAGCGAGCGAGCTGCTGAATCTAAGCGCAGGGCTGCTGATAAACTGGCCAGCTTGCTAGAGGTGGGAGAAGAGCCTGTTCTGGATTAAGCCAACACCTAGGAGAGAAGAGCTGAGATGCAGAGCAGAAGACCCCAATGACACCGGGCACCGAGATGCAGATGTATCTGAAATCACTGGGCTTTACCCAATAAAATGAGCCAACAAAATTTCCTTCCTTCCTCTCTATTTTCCTTCCCTTTCTTCCTCATCCCTTCCCCTCTCCTTTCCTCCCTACTCTTTTCCTTTCCCTCCTTCCCTCCCTCACTCTCTATTTCTATCTCCCTCCCTCTTCTTTCTTTCTTTTTTTTTTGTTTCTTTCTTTCCTACTTAAGGAAATCTGAGTTGGATTTTAGTCATTTACAGTAACAGGAGTCCTAACTAATACACTTAATTTAATCACTGGAAACCTCAGTTTACTCATCTGTAAAACAGAGGTGATAACAGCCAGGCATTGTGCTACGAACAGGGGAGTCAACAAAAGGGATAATAGTTTCTTACTCTTGTGAGGCCCAGCACATCACTAGCTCTCAAAACATAGTCACTGACACAGCTACACAACAGGTGATAACATTGCAGAGTACGGGAGAAAAGAAAATAGTGGTAAAGGTCAAGAAAGGGCAAGCCCGCTGATGTGGCTCAGGAGGTCACGGTTCAATTTCTGGTCCAGGCACATACCCGGGGCTGCAGGCTCCATCCCCAGGGGAGGGTGTACAGGAGGCAGCCGACCAATGAATCTCTCTCATCACAAATGTTTTATCTCTCTCCCTCTCCCTTCCTCTCTGAAATCAATAAAAAAAAATTTTTAAAGTGAATTACCGATGTTATATGAATAAAGTCTGAGTGTGGTACATACTTATGAGTGTGCGGTACAGCATACTATGGAGCAATTAATGACCAGAATTGGCTGTTATGTCATGTTACGAGTAACATTTACCATTTAAATAATTGTGTTCAATTTAACAGAATGTGGTGGTGTTTTCTTATGCATGTGTATTAAATTTGGGCTCAGTAACCTCTAAAAAAATTGTCCAGAGATTAACAATAATAATTTTTTTAATATATTTTTTCCATCCCACTATACCTCCTCCACCTCACCCACACCCCTCCCCCCTGCAATCACCACACATTAATTTTGATTTCCAAAAATTCATCCCACAAAGTTTTTCTGGGAAAAGTTATTACTGTCTTAGAGCAGGAGAATATGTAAGGAATTCTATCCTTGTGCAGACTTGAGAGAGGAAGAGAGGGAGGGGAAAGGATACTTACAGGGACTCCTCTCTATCCGAACTGTTTGAAGACTGGAATTCTTTCTGGAATTAGGCTTGGGGTTGATGAGCAATCTGTCCCATATACCTGAAAACATACACAAACGCACAATTTATTAATGGCATTAAGAAACAGGAGCCAATCAGCAAACTTTCTGTGACCATTCTCAAGTCTTGACCATCCCACGTTTCCCAAAAACGCTTTTAAAAAGAGAAGCACCCCAAGTTCCTTTACAACATGTTAGTTCTTCACATGGATTCAAATCTGTACAATCTACCCTTTCCTAAGCCTGGCTCATACATCTCTGTGGCACCGGTGCTGAGTAAGTGCTCCCTAAACTGCGCCTTTCTGGATCAGAAACCCACCCATGACTAAAGCTGTTCTGCAATGACAGAACGGAGGAAGCGGTGCAGGTACAACAACGGTGAAGTGAGGCCACTGGCTGTGTTATACCCGGCAAATTCCTAACCTCCTTGAGCAATGGTTTCTTCATTTGTAAAACATGCCGGCCTGGTTAGTTCCCCTTCATTAAAGATGCCCAACCTGAACCAAACTGCCCCCCGGAGAAGTTTGTGCCTCCACTCCGTCTATTCCGTCTCATTATTCACTACTCCTCGAGTTCCCTGTTTCCAATACCTGCAAAATCTCCTCCCTCTGGTACCCAAACCCTGTCTGCCCACCAAGCAGAGCCCCACAGTCATTCCCTGCTTCCTACTTCAGGCCTAGCGACTGGATTAGCGTCTAGAGCAGTGGTTCTCAACCTTCTGGCCCTTTAAATACAGTTTCTCATATTGTGACCCAACCATAAAATTATTTTCGTTGCTACTTCATAACTGTAATGTTCCTACTGTTATGAATCGTAATGTAAATATCTGATATGCAGGATGGTCTTAGGCGACCCCTGTGAAAGGGTCGTTCGACCGCCAAAGGGGTCGCGACCCACAGGTTGAGAACCGCTGGTCTAGAGCTTGAATTCTGGAGGCAGACTGATTGGATTCAAATCTGTTTTGTCCTTTTCCAGCCACGGGATCTCTGGCAAGTTATTTGTATGATACACCAGGACTGTTTCCTCGTCTATAAATGGAGATAACAGAACCTTCTGCACAGGGTCTTGTGAGGATTAAATTCTCTCGCAATAATTCTATAGGTACGGCTACCAAAATGGGGGGTTGAAAACATAAGCAACTCCCCTAAAGTCCCACAGCTAATTACTCGTGGCGCTGGGATTCGGATTAGTGATTTTTAATTCTCTATTACGGTGTCTGAAATCCCGTGTAGATTCCCTGGACCTGCCCCTCCCTCTACAAGGAAGCGGCACGAAAGGCTGGTTCTCTGAGTATGGAGGGGTGTGGGTGGGATGGTGGGGTGATCCATAACCAGTATCTGCTCCCGACCTGCCCACTGCTGGGGCCCAGGGAGCCGACCCCAAGGTCCTCCCATTAGGGAGGCGCAT